CCGCCGCCAAAATGCCTCTATGCCAGAAGTGTCTGCAGTTGTTTCTTGTAGCAAGGACGCAAAAAAAAAACAAACACAAAACCCCACACTCCACCATGATTGCAAAAAAAAAAGAAGCCAATTATATACATAAATAAAAATTAAATTAATTTATCAACCCCGCTGAGCATACCCTTCCTGCCCCCAAAGGGTATGAGAACTGCTGTAGGAAAGGGTCTCACTCTTACACATGTACAGGGAGAAAAATAGACCAAGAAATATTTATTTTATAGCCAAAAAGCCGTGCGACAAGAGCGTGCAAAGCCCAGAGCGACGCACACCTAGCAGCAGAGAGCTGAGCTCTGGGGAGCAGCGGGGTCCTGCCGAGCAGGAGGCACGTGCTGTGATGGATGGGGACCATGGCAGGGCTGGCTCACGACATATCAGGTGTGTTCAGAACGCCCCCCCACCCCCCCACCTACGGTGGTCTCTTTTCCTTTTCTTCTCTTGAATTTCATCCACTGAAGAACACAATAACTCCCGATCCCTGGAGAGCTGAGGGCGTTAGGAAGTTCATGCTAGGGAGCCCCAACGCCCACAGGGAAACACCATAAAGGGCAGGTTTCTCCTCGGGATCTCCCGGCAATGCTGAAAAGGAAGGCACCTTCTGGAGAACTCGCCTAAGCCCCCTAAACCGAGTGCTACTGTATTTCTGTCAACGGTCAATAAAAGATACCTCTGATATCTGGTGCTGCTGGGTTAACTCCGTCCTTATGAGGGCCGGGCTCCTGGTCCCTATGGGCTGGCAAGAGAAAACACTCGTGTCACCAGCGGCTGCTTGGGAGAGATTTAAAGAAGGAGTGAGGGATGAAGGTCGGGGCCGCACGCGGCCGTGAAGCAGGGCGCAGACCCAGATTTAAGAGCAGAGTTCTCAGCGACTCCCGTGATGGTCGATCAATGGCAAGCAGGCAAAGGCAGCCGAGCAGACAGGTCCCCCCTCCCCTGTTAGGACCAATGTTGAAGATAGAAATAAATTGCTGCAGTCTGAAACTGCTGCTACCGCAGCACTTCCCAGGGTCGTTACCGAGAGCCAGATTTCGGAGATGCCACGCATTTGCCGCTGACCGAGGCGGGAGCTCGGAGCCCTTCCTGACAGCTGCCTGCAGTGCTGCAAATCAACATGCCCTGACTTGAAAACACCACAAATGAATGCTAAGACCAGGACTGAAATACAGTTTTTCAGCCCCTCTGATCCTTCATCTCATCTCGTATGCCACAGCTGCCTCATCTTTTTCCAGCTGTAAGATGACCTCACGCCAAGGGAGACCGGTTGCTGTGGACCAGCCATGGAGCTGGGAGAAGGTAACAGCATCCATCTTTGTGCCCAGCACGAAAGCGAAGGTGCAGCAAGAGATGGGGAGTGCAGAGAGGCCGTCGTGGGACACTTCATCCTCTGCTGAGTGCGTGGTTAAATCAACGTGCTGTTCTCTGGGCTGTGCTCAGTGAGGGCTGTGCCATAGCGAGCTGTGGGGACAGACCATGAGGATGCTTCCCTGAAAGCCTCATGAGATGTCACCTCCTTCCTGCCCAGGTCTCCCTGCTTTAACCTCAGCCTGAGTTTCATTTATGGAGGAAGCTACGGGCAGAAGGGCCTGCAGTCCTACCTGCTCCCCACTCACTGGAGGGCATTTCCACACCAGACCAGATCAGGGATCTGTTTTGCACCGAAGTTTTGGCCAGCAGTGCGGTACATGGTGCTCAGGGAAGTATCTCAGCCATGAATTCCTCTATGATCCCTCATTCTGAGGTCAAGACTCTTCCCAAGCTCTCTTGGTTACTTCTGGCTCCCTTCCCTGAAGCAAGAAGTGAAGGGTCATAGCCACCGGCATTTCCACCCCAACATATCTGGGGGCTGTATCCAGCCCTTGTCCCCAGCAGAGGAAGGAGCTGGCCTGTCATGATGGCAATGCCTCCAAAGAGGGTGCAGCCAAAATGACTCGCATTGCAGCCACCCTGAGCTGGCACCTGATAATTGGAGGAAATTAAAGCCCACTGGGTCAGTGCCAGACTAGTCATCCCAAAATCCTCCGAGGGTTTGGAGGAGCACAGGGGAGGTGAGGTTGCATCACCTTTTCCCTCCTCCTGTACCTGCACCAAGCTCACACTGGCCGTTCCCAAGGTCTTGGCTGGATATCCTTCACCATCCAGGTGCCCATTGTACCTCTCAAGCTTCACAGCCCAAACACAGCCCAGCAGGATGGGCTTGGGGGATAACCCATGCAGGGTCACCCCACTTGCAGTGCCGGGGGCTCAAAGCCGCAGGTTTAGGTCACTGCGGGACCAATGTGCCTGGCACCTCTTACAATAACAAGTGCGTTCCTCTCCACGAGCTGGGACTTGTTGGAGCCACGTTGCAAGTGCTTTTGCAGTCAGAGACACCCCCCCCAACTCTGCGAAATCTTGCGGGGACAGTGCCACCGTCCCCATCTCCCGTGCCACACAGGAGAGAGCCGCCCTGCTTGGCATGCAGGTGTGGGGCTGCTCAGATAAAGGCAGAGCTGACACAAAATTGGAAGTGACCCAAAGCCAGCCTTTCCTACATTTAACAAGTGTGACAAATGAGTTACCATCATCCCTTCCCCTGACAGACCGTCTTATCTGCAGGAAAATGGATGCTGGTTTAATGAACCAGCGGGAATATTGAACTGACTCTGCAGCATTTTTGCATGCATAAACCATCAAGGGATGGAGAGGGTGGGCTATTCTTAGTAACCACCATATTTATTATTTGTTGCCCACTTTGTGAAGGAGGTGTGAATGATGAAACGGCTGCGCTGCAGCAGGTTGGAGGTTCACCCAGACCTGTCTCGGACAAGAACAGGGTAGCTGAGGATGCTGGAGGACGGGATGATGGACCCCAGGCAGGTGCTTGGCTCCACCACAGCCCTCACCTCAGAGCAGCAAAGCCCCTGCGCTCTCCCCTCCTCTCTCTTAGTGCCCCCCACTTCATTTTAATGGAGCAAACTCACGGCAGTAGGAAAGCACCCCCCAAATGGGGCAAATGAGAGGAGGACATAGATTTCCAAGCTTGCTTAGGAAAAAAAAAAAATCATTTATTCATGCAGACGTCTTCCAAATGCAGCAGCATCAAGGTGCTTAGCATTCATTTTATCTTGCCTCTGTCGGGGAATCCCAAATTGAGACGGCAAAACTGCATCCCCATACACTGCCAGGCAGGTACATCCCAGATTGCACTGACCGTGCTGTTAAGCGAAAGAAAGAACTTTTTTTCATTTTCAGAGAACAAGGGAAAGAAAAGCAGCAGCCAAATCTGACAGGCCCTCTAATTGCTGCTTCTTTTTTTTTTTTTTTTAAATTTTGTAAGAAAATTCTGGAAGTTCAGGTTTTGCCAAGGCTGACACCCGATGCAGCAGAAGGCAGGCTTTCGAGGGTTGCTTCTCTGCCTTTTCACTTCTGCCACTCACAACGTCGCGCCGCGCTCTCCAAATCGCACCTTTTTTTGGCTGCGAAGCCACAGCCTCTGTCGCACTCAGCAGCAAGAAGGAAAACGGGGAGGAGGGGGTGGAAGAGAAGAACGGCCGAACGCTGCTTGAGAAGCATCTTTTAAGATGGGGAAGAACTGACGGTCACGTTGCCATGTAGAGAGTTAATTGTATTCCTTCAGGAAACTGAGCTTGACAGCTTGATGAGGATTTCTTTTTGCTTTTTCTTTAGCTGGAAGGGAGAAATGGGGAAGAGGAGGGGGAGCGATTGTTTCCTTTGAGTCAACGTTGTGAGATTGGGCCTAAAATACTGCTCCTGGGTTTGTGCCCCCGGCACATGAAAGGCGTTTGGGGTGGGCACGGGGAAAAGCCACGGAGGCGGGTGAGGGGCAGAGTCCCCCGGGGCGGGGGGGGAGATGCTGGGGGCATGGGGCTCCTTCGGCCCGGCGATGAAATGGCTTCGGGGGGA